TAAGCATTTTTTATTATCAAGTCAAAAATAGAACAATAATTTCTTCCCCCATATTCAAAGTGATTTATGCACCCTTCTATTAATAGTTCCCTCTTTCTTTCCCTCTTGTCCTCCTTCTGCCCATCACAAAAATAGATAATGTATATTCTACTTTTTCTTTCTGGGATTTTATGTTTATTTTATAATTACTTTTTTAAACATCTGTTTGGCTGGATTAACCTCTTTTGAAACCTCTTTTTATATTGTGAATTCCTATTTGTTATTCCTTGCTCAGGTATTACGTATGTGCATATATACTTATACATGCATGTGTACATATACTTATCTGGCACACAGACACCTTTTGGTTATACACATGTGTGTCTTTAAGTTTTTAATTAAAAGATGTAGGTCCTGTATTTTATGAATTCATGAATGCCTGAGAATGTCTTTCTGTTGCTTTGTTACATAGGAGCTACTTAATTGGGAATAATATTTATGGGTTGTCTATAAACTAATTTCAATGGGCATTTGGGGTGTCTGTAAGCTATGAAGCTAATGTGGTTTTGCTCCTTGTTGGGCTATAAGCATTCAAACAAGCCCCCCATTTTTGCCTTCACTATTTTTATTCAACTCTTGTGCCAATAGACGTGTGGATTGTTTTCCATTAACTCTACCTGGAAAGTGATGAATCCTTTCGATGTGCATAATCACGTCCTTATTTTTTCTCCCGTGCTGAAATATTTCTTTATCCCTTTGTTTGTTGTTTGCATTTCAAATCTTATCAAGTACTGAAATGCTATCATTATTTGGCAAACCGATATTTTCTGGCCTGTTTATCAATCATGTCTGCATTCATTTTCATCCTTATCCTTTATTTCTTAATTTAGTTACAGGTTAAGTTTATCCTCCTCAGGACTGTATGTATGTTTTCATTGTCAATTCTACTATTTATTGTATCTAAGGTAGGTTTTGTAATTCTAAGAGAAACCAGTAGAATAGGATATTCATCAAGTTAGTAGTAACAATAGTTTAATAATGTCTTTGTGCTGAATGAGGTAGGAAGTTGCATGCTGAACAAAGCAAGGCTTGGGAAATAGACATTTTTCATAGCTAATGTGTTAGGAATAGTGAACACTGACATCAAGGAAGATGTGGATATGGTTGTTTATTTTTTCTCCCTAGATTACATCATGCTTACTCTTCACTAACTGAATGATACATATACTAATTGACTTATACTGTAGAAATAGGAGAAGAGGAATATGTAAGTACCTGGCCCGGGTTGGGGAATTTGATAATTTCCCAAATGAGATATTGAGAAATAGACTTTCATCTGTATGAACAATTCAGCGCCAATACACCAAAATCTGTTGCCTTTTGTCTCTGAAGCACCATTTCATGGTGGGGAGAGTCACCTTATAATAAAAATCACAGGACAGCAATAAATAGGTTTCCATTTGGTGAGTACAGTCTATGTTGCCTTGAAATTCTTAGCTCACTGAGCCCTGTCTTTATTTTATGTCATTTTATTATCTTGGCCGCTCACACTATTGTCTTGTAAAATCTAATTCTGCTGTCTTTTCATCTCAACATTAAAAAAAAAAATCTTCCTTCACATGTGTCAGAGAGACCACATCTTTCTGGATACTAGTGAACATGTGAAGGCTCTTTCTAAAATGCTTTCATATCTTTCTTATGTAAATAATTTTCAGAGTCACACCTTCTTTTATGATTAAGGATCATGTTCTCTCTCTCGTCCTACAGTACTTGTTCATGGGTTCCATGATGCATTTTTTCAGTTTACTGTGAAAAAAATCTATCTGGACCTTTTCTTTCTGCCTTTGCAGGCATGCTGGGATACTGGAGTCTCTGTACAATAACCTCCTGTGTGTACTTGCTCCCAAAGCTGTTGCAGCCACTATGCCTACAGCATTTTACTTATGGTGACCATAGTTTTCTCTTAACTACTGCCAGCCCCAGTGCTACCATCCTCTATTGTTTTCTTGGAGTTAATCTCCAAAGGGATCCACAAAATTCCCCCTAGGAGTAATTCTAGTTTATAATCTTGTGATAGTGTTTTCACATTAGGTAACTAACTTTTCCAGTTCAGGGTCCAGAAATGATACAGGTATGAAGGTACTTCCTAAGTTCTTTCAGGTTGAGCAAAAACAATTTCACTTAACAAAAAATATATGTAAGACGCATGTCTCTTTTCCCAATCCATTTGTGTTAGCCTTATATTGAGGCAATACCTTAATAAATAAGTAAAATATATTGAATGTTGGAAGTAAGAGTGCCATAGAGAAAAAATATAGCTGAAAAGAGGGATAAAGAATCGATAATCTTAGTTTCCCATTTTTAAGTGGTTTAAGATTTGTCATCATAGTTATTTATATGGAAAATAGGATAAAGCTAGTTTAAATGGAAGCAGCTAGTATTTTTATTTGAAATAACTTTGAAATCACAAGCCAGTGACAACTACATTCAATGATTAGAGATCAGTATTATCAATCTCTGCCTAACTGCCTATTCTAATATTTAGTGTGTATAACCTAAGAACTGTACACTTAAAAGTCTTGAAGTTTGGCAAGAGAAGAAAAAATGAAAAATGGTTTCACCTTGTAAAGTGATCTTCCTTTTGAAAAGAGGTATATAATACTCTGAAAAAGCCATGCTTGCTATTTGGCAGCCATGATGGATGTATGTACTTAAACTTCTTGTTTAACACTTACAATGCCTCCATAAATGAAGCATTATTTATGCCTCTGACAAAGATGAAAACACTAAGGCTTAGAGAGATTTAATAATGTGACCAGGGAACATAGCTAGTAAGTATCAAAACCAGGATTTGAACCTAAGTCTCTTTGATACTGAAGTCTTATTTGTCATCACTACACCTTTCCGCTTCAACCTCTGACTTGAGATAATCAGAATGAACAAAATGACAAGTCCAAGCTGCTTTCTAAGGCTTGCACCTGATTTGGTCCTGCCTACCTCTCCAACCTCATTTGAGACCTAGTATCCCTGAGTCCCTGTTCCCAGCACCCACTGGCTTCCTTCTGTTCCTCCAACAGCACATCTCAGGACCTTTGCATATGGTGTTTTCGCTGCCTGCAGTGTCTGGCTCCCTTTTCTCTATATGGTTTCCTTCTCTTCCAAGTCTTAGCTCAAATATCACTTGGTCAGAGTCTTCCTGTGGAGTCCTCACGTGACATAGCTGCTCCTCCCAAAGTCTTTCCTATTACTTGTTTACTTCATAGCATGTAGCCAATATGAAACCAATCTGTTCATTTATTTAGTATGCCCCTTTGACAGACTGTAAGCTCCTTGAGGTCAGTGGCTTTCCCCCTCTTGGTGATTACCATATCTGCAGCACTTAGAACAGCTCTTGGCATCTAACAGATGTTTAAAAATAGTTGTTAAATGAATAAAAAATGAATAACTTTAAGATCTGTACATTTATTTCTACTTGGGAACAATGTATTTAGTTTTTCTTGGCTGAACATATTTGAGAATTCATGTATTTGATAGTGTCAAGTGTTCTAAATCATGGTTTAGCCTTGGTCAGGACACTTAAAAGCATAACCACGTATGCTGCAACTTCCTGCAGTAGCAGAGATTTCTGCTTTGTTTTCAACATTCCCAGTGGTCTTGTTTAAATAACTATTCAGTAGTCACCTGAAAATAAGTGTTTATTCAATAAGCATAAAACTTCTTGGCTAATTATCTATAACAGAATTACAGTGTCTTAGAATCATAACAGTTTTTAGCTAGACAAGGACTTAGTATACCCTCTAGTCTAGCAAACATTTTGGAAAGGTAAAAAGGCTTTTCAAGGCCACACGGGTAGATCCAGGATCAAAAGAAATCAGGACTGGTCCCTTTCCATTATATGGGGTCAACGCCTATCTTTCTCCCAGCCCCTCACCTTATTGTAGTGAACATTTCTATAAGAGCAGTACATCATGTATAGCATTTCATAAGAAACCTACATTTCTGAAAGGAAAATATCACTGTTAATCAAAGTTCCCAGTTTATTTCAAATCTGTAGAAATGGAACAGTAGCTTTCATGGGCGCCTTAACATTGAAATCATTGCATACTATTCCATCGAAGGCTGCTATAATGTAGAAGCAGAGGTCTGCAGGGTAGACTTCAAAACAGAAAGGGAATAAAATACCAGATTCAGAGCAAAACAATATAAAATGATTTGTATAGGTCGTATTTTCTCCAGGTTAGCAAACGAAACACCATTGCATATGAGCCTCGTATGCAGAAATCACAAATTAAATCCATTGTAATAATCTATGGATTTTTCTGCTTACTTCTTACATGACACATGAATTCTTTATTCTTTTTTTTCAGATACGTTTCAGGAAAATAGTTTGATTTAGAGAAATAAATTTGCATATACATTTCTATAGAGCAGAACACACCATACTTTTCATGTCTTTTTAGAAGCCAAAGATTTATGTTTAAGAATTAAAAAAAAATCACATATACTGTTTTGTGTGTATATATGGAGCTGAAGAAAAATGGACATGTCCATTAGTGTATACAAGTACCCAGTGAATATGGGTATATATTATATTTATATAAAATATCCTATACAGTTTAAAAACATTACTTTTCTGGAACATGACTGTCATAAGACCAGTAAAATCAAGAACTGTTTTGTCTATTTTTTTTTTCTATGATGGGCAGAAACATTTGTATACAGTAGAACACAGACCCCAGTTTAGATGACTATGAAATTTAGGCCTTTTTTTCTGTAAGAGGATCGTAATGCTGACTCAGTGTAATGACCGTTCTCTTCTGTGATTTGTTTACAAAACTATCATGGATATGAGAAAAATAGTATTTATATATGATTGTAAGTCACAGAAGCAGAGAATCCTAGAACCGGAAGGGAACTAGGGATAATCTTTCGAAAATACTCCTTGTAGAGATAAGGACAGAGTCTCAGGATGGTGGGGACTGTGGTAGCGAGGTTTCATCTGTCTTTGTCTGCTTGTGCAGGAATACATGGACTCCAATAAATACATTGAGCATCTGCTGAGTCAACTCGAAGAACAGCACAGGAGTCTCTGGAGGTGAGTTTAATTCATGTTCTTATTTGTTTGTTCGTGCAGCATCCTTTAGAGCTTTGTTGATCTAAAATGTTTCAGTTAGACTACAGAATATATGTTAAGTTCTTGTCTCACTAAAAACTGTTAGATTCTAAGAAACTGTTGTCCTGGAATGGCAAAGCTGTAATGTGGAAGCTAGAACCCAAATTCTTTGATCCTTGCTTACTTCAAGATTTATTTAAGTTTTTCTCTAGTTAAAAAGTAGAACATTGCTGCTTCAAAGTCAGCTTCTCTTCACATTAAAGGGGAATATTTTAATAATGCTGTTGTACAGCTACCCAATATTTAGTTTCTATTCTACATAGAGGGTTCTGACACTAGGTAAGGAAAATGTCTGAGAAGGTTTCTGCATGCATATTAGAAATGGTAGATTAATATCACAGAAGTCATATTGCCAAGTTATTCATTCCCTGGGGCCTCTTAGGAATTGAGATTGGCAAAGATGGTTGTAATATTATTATTTAGCTTTTTAGGACACGTGCCGTTATGTCTTTTGTAGGTGCTGCTATAGAACTTAAATTTCCTTTTTGAAGTTCCTATAGCGCTTCCTTACTTTTTGAAATAAATATGCTGGTACTTAAATACATGATGCCTCACATTGTACCAAAATTGTTTTATTAAGTACATTTGTCTCACCAACCCTCAGTAAGCACCTAAAGTTATTAATTAATTAATTAATTATTGAGACAGAGTTTTGCTCTTGTTGCCCAGGCTGGAGTGCAATGGCAGGATCTTGGCTTACCACAGCCTCCACCTCCCGGGTTTAAGCAGTTCTCCTACCTCAGTCTCCCATGTAGCTGGGATTACAGGTGCCTGCCACCATGCCCAGCTAATTTTTCTTATATTTTTAGTAGAGATGGCGTTTCACCATGTTGGCCAGGCTGGTCTCGAACTCTTGACCTCAGGTGATCCACCCGCCTCGGCCTCCCAAAGTGCTGAGATTACAAGTGTGAGCCACCGGGCCCAATCCCTTTATTTCTTTTCCTCTCCTTGCAGCATGGGGAGAGTGCTCTCTCTGTACACAGAGATGGCAGGTAAATATTTACTAACTCTCTTGTTTTCTTGCTAGACCTCATCCAAATCCATCACCATGGGGCTCCTTGCCAGGCCGGGTTGCCTCTTCTTGTTGCACCATTGTAAAAATTCTAATAACCTCAAAATGTATCTTCTTTCAGGAGGTCTAGGTCTTGGGTAAAGTACTATACAGTTTAATATGTTATATTCTTACATTCGTTTTTCTACTGGAAGACAGACCTCTGATTATAATAACAGAGAATATTCTATTTCTATACATAGAAAAACTGCTGGTAGGATACAACAAAAATTCAGTGAAGTCTGTTTGACACTAATGGACACACCAGTTAATTTTATGTAATTGATGCAATATTTGCTAGATTTGTTTTTGAGAACTATACCCTGATTCTGATAGTTTTCTTTTGCGAACCAATGTATTAATTAAATCAACAACAATGTATGTATGGTTGTGTCCTTTTAATTATATCTTCTATAGATCTCTTGGAAAGTATATTTTTAAAACTATAATGTTTTATCTCAACTATTTATATAGAATATTTTATTTTTCCCATCTTCCTAAAGAAAAATTTATAAAAAAAATAATGAATGCCATCTGATGAAAGAAATTTAGAGTTTAATTTGGTTAGTAAGTATATCTTACATGCATTATTATAGATGAATAATGGTTTCATGGGGTCTTTGAACCAAAATAACCTGCATGGAAAGGGCTATTTTTCTTACTTTCTTGGGGTAGCTAATAAAAACCTAGGTCTTCTCAGATATGATTAAATTAAACTTCCATTTCAGGCATGGAGTTAACATAAAGTGAGAGCTTAGAATTTTGTGTATAGTTACTTCCATTTTCCTTCAGAAATGGAATTATTACTGCTGAGGAAGCAAAGCCTTATATATAGTGTCAGAGGATCTAATAAAAATGCTCCATTTAAATAACAATAGAAGGTAATAATGACACTTGGATAGTCAGAATAATTCCAGTGAAAAGATGGAAATGGGTGGTATTGAAAGAAAATGAACTCCAATAATAGCAGATTTATATACTATTTATTGAATCATGAAATTACTTTTGATTATATTTTTGCCAACAGATCCTGACTTCACTGACTTAAAGTGACAGGCTTTATGATGGTTATTACAATATCATAACAACAACTGTAGCCAAATTGTTTTTAGAGAACAATATGTGAGTGACAGTGAACAGTATAGGAAATCCTTTCTGGTTATGATTAAATTTTTAAATGCTTATTCATAAGTTAGAATAGAATCTATGATATACAGAGGATCATGGGAATAGCATGTCATGTTCACAAGCACAACCAGATTGCCTGAAGTTAAACAAATGCTCCCATAAATCAGTATAGGCTCCTTCTCTGATTTTGTGTGCCTTTGATTTGTGGCTGCTACCACTGTCATGGAGTAGTGGGCTATTTGTCATTGCTGCTAATGTTAACTGATGGCCTTCCATTTATACTGTAGCTAACTTATAACTTAGAGTCAAGTTCTGAATATCTAGATCTTCCAATAATAATAGTGGTCAGGATTAATTTATGGCTACCACCTTTGAGGACTGATCAAAAGCATGGTTGAAACAGAGCATACTCTTGTTGCCACTTGGTGAATGATAAGACTTGCATAAATAATATAGGATTCGGTGCAAAGATTAAAAAGTTTCCTTTTCTTCATGGAGGGGGCTGCTAGCCTTTCACCAACTTTAGTTGGTTCTTATAGCATAACCATCTGCTGTGACAAAAAAAAAAAAATATGTTGCAATAACACTTTTGAGATAACTGGTTATTTTGGGGTCCTGTCTAATATTCTACTGAAATAGACCTATAATCTATCTCTGGGTTTTCAAGTTGCAAAGGAATTTGTGGAGTTCATAAATAACTGTCTAGCAGGGATCAGTCCTATAACTCAATTGTCTTTTTGTTAGCAACAAATCCTTCCTAAAGAGGAAAACTCAGAATTAATCTACAGAAGAGAATGGAGTCAGAATCTAGAACTTAGTCTAAGACTTGAGTATCAGTTGGGGTGAGTTTAATCTGCTCTGTATCTCCCTGCTTGATTTAAAACATACACACACACACACACACACACACACACACAGCGACAACCTGTATACTAGTTCAGGTTGAAACACAACCATAATTTCCTGTACCTTTATTTGTTCTAATGTGAAAAGTTAATATGTGGAGAAAAAGGATTTTTTTATATCATTTTTTACTATTTCTGATTTGGCTAAATATATTTGTGACTGACAAGAAACATAAAAGAGTACTGAAAATGTCTCTCCTAACATGTGATAAAAAATCTTTATACATTTGTAGCCTCATATTAAAAGTTTAGAATAAACAGACAGTTGGAAAATACAAATTCAATTTATGAATGCTTATGGCATTGAAATTACTTTCAAGTCACAAATGTAAAATTATGTATAAAAAAGTGAGAGCAGCATAATACTATACAATAGGAAGAAAACTGGACTGGAGGTTTTGGGGACTTGGACTCTTGTCTGGCCTGCAAAAACTGGCTGCTGGATAAGAACTCCAAAATGGAGTTTTCTTATCTGTGAAAACAAGGTATTAATATAGCTAGTATTTAAGATTACTCAGCACTGAGATTATGAAACGGTGTCTAGAGTATTATATTGCATTTATAAAACATGTTTTTAATAACACTTAAATATTATGCAATGATACAGCTACATAATACATCTATCATAGAAAACTTCAAAGAACATGAGGATAAATGACTAATGTCACAATCTAACAATTTGCCAGTAGCTCAAGAAGATAATGTCCAAGTATTCACTTCAGATATTCTTTCTTTTTGTGTTAATGGGAGACTGGAGTTTTACTACTACCCAAATCAGCCTCCTCCAAGATTCAGAGGCCAGAGGTTTTAGAAGATAGTTTGATGGTGGGGGTAGGGATGTTAGAGAATGGGGAGTGCTGATTGGTTGTGTTGGGATGAAATCATAGGGAGTCGAAGCTGTCTTCTTGCGCTGAGTCAGTTCCGGGGTGGGGGCTGCAAGACCTGAGGAGCCAGTTCACCACTCTGGGTGGTACCTGTTGATCCCTGAGAATGCAGGGTCTGAAAAAAAAGCCTCAAATACCAATCTTTGGTTTTGCCATAATGATGTTACCCATAGGAGCAACTGGGGAGGTGAGGAATCTTGTGGCCTCTGGCTGCATGACTCCTGAGCCATAATTTCTAATCTTGTAGTTAATTTGTTAGTTTTATAAAGGCAGTTGGTCTGGTCCCCAGGCAAGGAGGGGTCTGTTTCAGGAAAGGACTGTTATCATCTTTGTTTGTTTCAAATGTTCATAAGTCAAACTGGTGAGAGTTTTATCACAAGTCTTACGGTAATGAAGAATGAGTAAGTAGGTCTGCATGGTCAAAATCAAATGACAAAATCTACTGAATGCAGACTGCCAGCTACCAACCACAGATTCCAGATCACCTAAGCCTCATTCGAACAAGCTATATCTGCACTAGGGTTTCTCAACCAAGGCACTGTCGACATTTGGGGACAGACAATTCTTCATCATAGGGGAGGATGTTTAGGATGATCCCTGGCTTTTACACCACCTGCCCATAGTACCCCTCAGTTGTGACAACAAAAATGTCTCTGGACTTATTTCAAGGGTTCCCTAAGGGACAAAATCATCCCCTCTCCCAGTTGAGCGTCAGTGATCTAAATAATCTATGCAAGCATTTTCCTGAGTGTATTCCAAGGAACTCCAATATTCCGCGTCACTATATCATAGATACTTTAAGAAAAATGAAGGTACTCCATGGTCAAATAAATTTTAAAAATTTTAGATAAAACCAAGTCTTAAACATTTTGTTTTAATTGTAGAACTTTTCAGAGCTATTAATCTTGCTAACATGTGCTGCATATATGCAAATATTGGATATAAAATATCATT